AGTGCCAACACAAAAAAATGCCGCTTGCGTTGGCACTGGACTGGAACGCAGGCAAAGTTTTGCCACCCGTCCGATCGCACTGGGGGGAGCATGGCTGCGGTGCCATTCACTTCAATGCACTGCCCCCTCCCGCCCTAGAAAGAAGGGGGGAGTTTAGTGTGCGACTCTGAACACACCGCCGTTGATGTGAACAAGCCCTAAGACACCACACAGCCCCCGTCTTAGCTGACTGTCCGCATTACCTAGAAGTGCTGGCGGTTGTAAACTGCAGAGAATCAGGGAGGAGATAAGTTTAACACCGGGGGGTACTGTGAACTCTGTGAGTGTTAATAATTATATGGAAGTTTTATACTTTTATTTTTTTTAATAAATGAAACATAAAAATATATCTCTCCTCTCTCTCCCCTGGCTGTTTCTCCTATATTCTCCCCCCAAAAAATGTCGGCGCTTAAGTGTTCGGGTATCGCATGAAGAAAAGGTGAAAGCTGAAAGCACTATTTTTTTCTGACCAGACCGGAATGCAGGCATTGATGTGCCATGCGTTCCTGTGCGGCCGATCCCATTGTGGCCAGAGAGCATGGCTGAGGTGCCATTCACTTCACTGCACCGCCACGCCCCATCCCGCCCCACAACAAATTGAGCCGGCCGCAATGCGATCCAGTGTGTTCCGGCCACAACGCACTGGTGATGATGTGAACTAGCCCTAACTGTAGGCACTATGCTGTCATGCAAGCAGTCTTGACACAAATGTAAATGTTTAATTTATATACCTTTTCTATATACCTGGGGTCACGTACAAATTTCCTTGGACGAAAAGGGGTCACGAGTGGAAAAAGTTTAAGAAGGCCTGGTATAGATAATGTTTTTAAACACGGGTGGGGTTCTAATTTGAAAAAAAAGCAATAACACAGAACAAAACTAAGTGGATATATCTACTGTTATTTATAAAAAATTGATATACTACCCCAACAGCAGATCCAAAAAGCACTCTCAAAATGAAAGAAAGAAAGGCCTCAACCCCCTTCAATGAGTATATATAGAAAAAGCAGAAAGAAATGCGGTTTCAAGCGAGGCAAAAATAATGATTATTTAATTGAGTTAAAATATAGTTTTATTACACAGAGTAGGATCAACAACAAGATCCATATATAAAAAGAAACAACACAGTTACAAAAAAAGCACAAATCCACTGATTACCACATGCATGGTTAACACATAGGACTAACACATAACGATGTGATAGACAATTGCCTAATAAGAAACCACCTCAAGCCCTTATTGAAAATGAAACTATGCACAATAAACACATGTCCAAGATAGCATATACTTGCTAAACATAGGTATTCAGAGATAGATGAAAGCACATATGTCCAGGGCAAAGAGTAGTGGGTATTTAAACCCAACGCGTTTCGCTCTTTCAAGCTTCGTCAGGGGATCTTTTGGCAACCTAGTAATATAAAGTATCAATCAATGAGTTATGCATCTTTCATTAGATATCTATACATGCATTATAAAAAAATGCACAATTACACATATATGGGTACATATATACTTACTAGAATCAACAAAACAATTCACATGTAAATAAAATGCAAGAAGCAACTGTCGCCAACGGAGAGGATATGCATCAATTGAGAACAATGGCTGAGCTTCCTTGTTGTAAAGCAGCATACAAGATGTACATGGATAGAAATACACAAAAGAAGATCTCCCTTCACACACAAAAAGCACACCTCCCAGTTCATTGGAATAATGTTAGCATGCCACTTAACTAAACTTATATAAACTCACAACACTTGTAATGTCTACTAACTACCGTATTTTTCCATCTATAAGACGCCCCCATGTATAGGACGCCCCCCACTTTTCTTACCCAAAATTCAGAAATCAATATTTTCCATGCTCTTTTGCAGAGTAAGACAGCCCTTCCTGATATTGGTATTTTTTTTGTTTTCTGACATTTTATGGGCTCAGAATGCTCCGACATTATCGCTCCCTGTTACATCTGGGCACTGGCTACAGGCTCTCCGCAGCATCAGCTGACGTCGGGTACATAAGGCTCATGATTGGAGGAAACCTGTTAGCTTGTCTCTGCAATCGGAAGTTTCACTCGTGAGGCTAGTTTGCAGAGGTATCGGCAGTTTCGCAACCGCCGTTCTCCTCTCGGCCCCCCGTGTATAAGACGTCCCTCCATTTTTAGGTAAATATTTTTATGAAAAAGTTTAGTCTTATACATGGAAAAATACAGTATATACCTAAGCACACTTCCCGCACTTAGCTTGTATCTCACACAACCTGTGATAACTAATAGTTTCATATCTCAACACATGTCCAAATTCATTACTGTATTACAAACACAACAGAAAACATTTCCCACACATCACTTTACTCATTTCTCATAGAGCCTGAATAGTCCATAGGCTACAAACCTCATAGTGGCAATGAAGATAAACCCCCCCGGGCGTCTGCTGCTGTCTCTCTCCAAGAAGGTAAGGGAGATCAGCTGGTCTCCCATATATCCCCCCTCCACCGACCACTCCCACCCCAATCATTGGTCGGCACCCCGCCCATCCGTTGACTAGCAGTGTATCATGTGTCCTCGTCTACCAATCATAGCACAGGGACACGTCACTGCTGTAAACAGAGCGACAACTTGGTACAGGATCCAGGGTCTCGGTATGATTGCGAGGAGGGGGCCAAACAGGAGAATAATGCTAGGTAATAAAAAAGAGCACTTAAAAGGCCACTCCCAGATAGCAAAACAATAATGAAATGGAGGGATGCATAAGGTCACAAGGTGGGTGCGCTTAGAAGCACCCGTAACTAATAATAGCTTCATATCTCAACACATTCCCAAATTCATTAGTGTATCACAAACACAACAGAAAATGTTTCCCGCACAGCACTTTACCCATTTCTCATAGAGCCTGAATAGTCCATAGGCTTCATACCTCAAAGTGGCAATGAAGATACCCCGCGCACGACTGCTACTGCCTCTCTCCAAAAAGGAGATAATCAACTGGTCCCCCCTCCACCGACCACTCCAGTCCCATTTATATATGGTGTGTGACACTGCAGCTGTCACATGTCAGCTTTATAGAGCCGAACACTGAGCATCTCACAAACCACTGATTGCTCAGTTCATGATCTTCTCCCTGCAGAGAGTGGTGACAATCACTCACCGCTCCCCACAGGGATTCCCCCCTCCCCTCTCTCTGTTTCTCCAGCGCTCACTGGAGGGACAGAGAGGGGAAGGGGAGGGCACAGCTGGGTCGGACTCTAGAGAGGCAGAGGTACCAAATCAGAAGGAGGAAGTGGAGTCAATGGTCGCAAGTCGGGTTCATGCACAGGAGATCAAGGCACTGGAACAAAGTACAGGGCACACAAATGTTCCAATACGCGCGTGTCCAGTTGCTAAAGCGCATTTACCAGGAACTTTTAGCAACAAATTGCATGCTTGTGTGTGTGCACGTTTTTGGGCAGGAATCAGTCTGCAGGTAAGTCTCTTACAAGGCCTTTGTGCAGGGGGTTTCTCACATTGTCCCCACTCTATGCACTCCATGTGGGAGCTTAGCTTAGTTCTGTCGGCTCTGCAGAAGCCGCCCTTTGAACCTCCTTGGAGACATTCCTCTGACCATACTCAATTGCAAGATTGCTTGCCTTGTCACATTCATTTCTGCTAGGCATGTTTCTGAGTTGGTGACCTTGACGTGCGCAGAGCACTTTTTGGTTATCCACAAGTACTAAGACCTCAGGCCTCCTTTCTTCCTCTGCCTTCCACGTTAACCACAGCATTGTTTTAACATCAATTATAACATATAGTAAATTCTGCACCAAAACATTCTAAAGATGTTTCTTTCCACTGTTTGGATGTGGTTCGGGCTATTCAAATTTACCTCTCTGCTACTGCTTCTATCCACAAGTCTGACTCATACTGTCTCATTCCTGAGGGCTATGAATTAAAGGGTAAACTTCCTCCCTTTTCAGTAATGGCACACTCTACTAGGAGCAGACCCTCCAGCATCAGGCTTCTGTTTCACAAGGCTGCCAAGTTTTACTAGGTGGTCGTTCAGGCCTCTGCTGATTCTAGCTTTAGCCACAAGGTTCTTCATACGGCCCTCTGAATTGTGGCCTCCTTCTGTTAGTTTCAAGCTGGGGTTAGGTATTATTTTCATGAGCGTATCTTTAAAGGAGAACTATGAGGTGAGTGATTTTCACTCACCTCATAGTTCTAGCCAACCTGTGACAATGAGACTGTTACAGGTCGGCTCAGTAGATCGGGAGGTGAGCAAAAACATACCGGCTTTCGCTCACCTCTCGATCCTGTCACGACTCGCTGCCGTGACGGGAGGGGCTGGATTCCCCCCTCCCCGCTCGGATCTGCCAGCGCTGACTGGCGGAACGGACGGTGGAGGGGGTGGGTACAGCTGGCTCTACCTTTAGATAGGCAGAGCCAGCTGTCAGTCACGCAGCTGGGCGGATCCCGGCACAATTGTCGGGATCCGCTTCAGCTGCGGCGTCTCAGTATACCGCGAGCGGCTGCTCGCGCTATCCTGCTGCGTCTCAGTAGCTTGCGGTATACTGAGCCTAGGGTGATGGGACGACTCTAGTTTGTGTCCTCCCGTTACCCTAGGGAGAACTATGGGGAAAAGACTTAACCCCATAGTTCTCCTTTAAGAAGCTGTGGATGATTGAAAACAATTGCAATCTACCTGAAACAGTAATTTTGGGTTATTGAACCCCTTAGCATGTAATTTTTAGATTTGGCGCATTAGGTCTCCATCAACCTTATGGTAGGTATGATCATCTTTACTTTCTTGTTCAAGTGCCACCTCTTTCCCCAAACCATTTATAATCCTCAGTTTTGAACAGATACCTTGGAAATGCGGGTGTGTTAACTTTGTTATATGCTGTTAGGAGAATGTTTGAATTAACTTTAATGAACATTTAGGATGCCTGGATTTAAAGCTCATTTTAATTAGTTATTTTGTTACCCATAGCGCTTTATTGCTGAATTCAGTAATGTCGGCATTCAGGGCTGAGTTTATTGCTGCCAGATCGATGGACTTTATTGGAATGATCAAGGAATGTGACGAGGCTGGATTCCCTAAGGTATCTTTCATTATAACTGCTGATATATTATTTGCAGAGTTATTTAATGGAATTAGCGTGTTGCAGTGCAAACAAATTTAGAGATCCATCTGTATGTCATAATGAGTTCATATTTCATATAATTTTGTCTCCAATCTTTGCAGCTTTAGTAAAATTAAATCATAAATGACTAGGTGGAAATGTTTACACCCTGTGTTTAGCCAGAACTATATAGCTGTCTGTAGGAAGTAGATTAAAATTCCTCACTTTAGAGAAGGGATTTCTGTACCACCAAACTAAAATGTGGCAGCTGTAGTTTAGTGATTTAAAGTGACCTTGTCAGGGGGTCAACAAAATTACACATTATTACTACTATGAAAAAGTAAATTTGTTGGCTCCTTTGGTAAAACTTATAGCAGATGCTTCCAGTGCAAATCTCACTCAACTCCTGGAGCTGGTAAAATAGTGTTACCCCCCACTGGCCACAGATGTTTCATTGCAAGACACTATAGTGATGTAGGGAGTGACAGGAGGTACAACATCGGGAAGTGTAGGGCACGTTTTTCTACACACCTGAGCGAGTGCAATAGAATCGGCTCTGGGAGCTACATGGTGATGTTTTTCAGCAAATGGACCTATGTGCAGTTATGTATAAATATATATATTTTTTCTTCAGGGTAGTGTCTGTAATTTTGGTGACCCCTTGACAGAAGTGTCCTTTTTATACCAGTACTGGTATGCTTGCTCTGGTATATGCTGTTATACAAAGCTTAGTACCACTTAACAGAGCACATAATAATGCATTATGGCAGGCTGAATAGCTATATGCTAGCATTTACCAGATGACTTGCAAAGTGCATGTCCTTAGCAGTGGAATTAAAAGGAAAGCTAGAGGTTTTGCCTGTTAGGGTTATGCTATGTGATTTCGTTTTTATGTGTGTTAGGGGTCTGAGACCTTAATGAATGAGCATAGGTTCTGTTTTGTAGCATCTACTGTTCCGCTCTTTGGGATTAAACTTGGCTTTGGCTGACCCTCCGGAAAGTGACAGACTGCAAATTTTAAATGAAGCATGGAAAGTGATTACTAAGTTGAAAATCCCACAGGTATGTGTTTTGTAAAATGCAATATGCATAGAATAAACTGAACTTCAGGCAAACATCTAAATGCATGTTTAACATACATAGAGTGGTGCTGGCTTACAGTACCTGCCAAAGGAATTGTATTTATGTCCTGGTGTCCTGACCTTTTTTCTGCTGCAGTTAGTTGACATAGCTAAGTGACGTCCTGCTCCTAGCTTATGACTAAACAGTCAAGAACCAAGAATAGACTGATAAAGTAATGTTTCTGCTCTGTCTTCATTTCAGCATGTTATTTGGTAGCACATGTAAAAGCAGAACATCTTGTTGGCTCCAACTATTGCCCCTTACCCTTGCACTCATATTCTGAGTGCTACTATGCGGGGGCATTATAAGAGGCTGAACTCAATTCAAATTCAGGTACAATACTAGTTGCATTAGAGTGACCCTATGTCCACATAAATAAAACAAAGGCACTCTGTAAAAGTATAATTTTTTTTACATGTACCAGTCTGGTAGGCAGTGTGTTAATTCTTCGCTCTTTTGGAGAGGTCCAAGCACCACTGCTATCCAAAACCATCTGGGTATGCCAGATGTTAAACACAGTAGTATGTTAGTGGTAATAAAAAGAGAATTGGACCTATGGAAGGTTGACATAAATGCAAGGTTTGTTTGATCGCTTCCAGCACGTTTAGGTTGTGAAAAACTGCCTGCAATGAGCAATAATAAGACAAGACAATGTGCTAATTTAACTTGAAGACCAAGAATGCCTTTAGTAGGAAAAGGGGACCAGGGCAAAGAAAATCCTTGTCCCTATGTAGAATCAATAAAAAGGGACCTGCAAGACAATGGCCAACTCAGAAATCCAATCTTGCTGAAATTATTGCATCGGAAAAGGGAGAGCTAAGAAGGTCCTATGGTGCCATAGAAGTCTTTACTGGGGGCTTGATGGGGGCAGCCCCTCCTATAAACGTGTGGATTAGCGAATTGGTAGCCAAAGGGCATTAAAAGTAGACCATAAGGCCAATAATTTGACTCCCTTGATAGTACTCAACCCAAATGCCTTTATATACCATACTGGAGGGTGCAGAGAATACAAACAGTGTAGTAGTTTCCGGTATAGAGACCGTAGGCCGCTCACCACCAAAACAACGGCCTGTCATATTCGGTGAAAAACATGCTGGTAACATTGACTAGCTTGTAGTATTGTAGCTATGCTTCTGATTACCATCACCCGCTCACTTAAATATTGGCCCTCAATAGCCATGCTCTTAAAGCTAATGTTTGACAAGAAGCAGCCCTTATAATAGAAGTTTTGGCAGAAAAGAAAGACACCAGGTAGCCTCCACAACAATAAGCTATTAATAGTTTTCAGTTTTCTGTCTCTATATTTTTATTAAAGTTTTAGAAGGAATAAACATAGAAAAATGGTTCACGTTGCTCCAATACAGTAATATATCGGGAAAACAATATAATCATATTGAATGCAACAATATATAAAATAAATAATAGATCATATAGCAAGTAGGGGTCTCATCCTTATCCATTCAGCAAAAAACATCAACTTAACATCAGAGTTAAACAGGTTAGTACCACCTAGAGGTGAGCCAGGAGAAGGATATCAAAAAGGCATAGGGAAGAGGCCCCAAAGGACAAAAGAGCGAACAGAGAGGATAAAAAAAAGTAAAAGTTTTAAAAATTAAAAGTAACGGAGGCTGCTCACTACCAGATCATGGTCCACAGCCAATTAGCCAATTGGTCCCAAGTAATTCATTCAGATTCCCTGGAAACCCATTGGATCCATGTCAGGATGTTGATGTGAGAGCCAGGGTTCCCAAATACTCAGAAATTTATGATGTTTGCCCTCCAAGATGCTAGACAGCCTTTCATTGAGCCTATAATGCCAGGGAGGTTCAGTATGGATCACAGCTACAGACAAAGTGTTGCCTTAGAGTTCCCCTTTAATTAATGCTGATTGGAATCGCATATGTGTCTACTCAAGCTTCACTATCAGTTTAAGCAACATGTAATGTCACATAATTCTATAAAGCAAAAGGATATATATATGCTGCAGAAGTTACATCACTTCAACAGGAACAAAAGTCATAAGTCTATGATAACGTTTGAAAAAAGTGTGGAAAATAAAAAGTACTTGCGGTTCAGCAGCCTGTGTCACTACGGTTGCTATTGGAGACAGCTTGGCAAACAATCAGATGCAGCAGTATGTTGCTTTTGGAGACAGCTTGGCAAGGAATCAGATTTTGTGGCTTAAGCCACCAAGGAGGGAGGAGCCAGATGACGGCGCAGGAGTGAATCAGATCCCTGCGCCAAACACGAACTGAAGGACAGGTGAGTATGTTATAGTACCCCCCCAGGAACCCACTCAGGGGGTGCAAGGTTTAGAAGGTCTCTGAGGATGTTGCAAATGGAACCTCCTTATCAATTGAGGAGCATGCAAATCAGACACATTTTCCCAGGAGTCATCTTGTGGACCATACAACTTCCATTGGATAAGGTACTGCAATTTGTTCCTACATAACTTGGAATCCAGTATCTCCTCCACTTCAAACTCTTCCTGTTCCTCCACAGTTATTGGTGGCTGAGGTAGAGGAGCACGATCAGGGAAAGTGTTAGGTCTGAAAGGTTTTAGTAAGGACACATGGAAGGTGGGATAAATCCTTAGGTCCGGAGGCAAAGTCAGGCGAACTGAAGAAGGATTAATAACCAACTGTACGGGAAATGGGCCAATGTACAGGCTGCTAAATTTCTTAGAAGGAGTTTTCTGCTGTAGGTTTTTGTGGAGAGCCAGACCAAGTCCCCTACTTTTGTAATGTGGAGGTGCTCTTCCAAGTAAGTTGTAGTAGTGTTTCTGTCTGGCTTGGGCTGGCTCAATATTTGTCTTTAAGAAGGAATTGACATCCTGCAATTGTTGAAATTTAGTTTTCCATAGTTGGATTGTTAGTGGGTAAGTCTTGGGATAAGAAGGATGGATGGAAACCATAGTTGGCATAGAAAGGGGTCTGCGCCTGACCCTGCTAAAGTTGTGCTTTAGGCGCACCATACCAGTGACTGCCTGTCTATCAACCCCGATTGCCATTAGCTATCCTTTTAATAGACCACCCTCACGATTCCACACGCAATGTAATCCTCTGTGAAGCATATCGTTCTGTAACTGTAGTTTCTCCAATGCCCTAATACTTTGATGCGGTCCTCTATTACAACGGTGCACCGTGAAATCCTATTTTCTTAGAAAGCTAAGGTTGCCCTTATGCATTTTTATATGACATGATAGGAACAAGAAACCAGTCGGCCTGGAACTGTACTGTCCCCCCTATAGATGTTGTTTTGTTGAACTGTGTAATACTTTATATTCTTTGTTGAACATAATAAAAAAAAAACTTTTGACATAAAAAAGAAAGGGGTCTGTATAGTAGGACTGCTATGTGTTAATGTAAGAGAATTCCGCTAGAGGGAGTAATTCATTCCAATTGTCTTGTAGATGGGTGCAATAACAGCGTAAATATTGCTTCAGGTTTATTCTCTTGGTTTGTCTGTGGATGGTAAGTGCTGGAATGTCGGTGATCAATCTTGAGTTTTTGACAGAGAACTCTCCAAAATTTAGAGATGAACTGTGAGCCCCTATCAGAGACCAATTGGCTTGGTATTCCATGTAATTTAAAAACATTTGTTATTTAAGCCTCAACTGTCCCTTTTGAGGTGGGTAGTTTGTTAAGGGGAATGAAGTGAGCCATTTTTGTGAGAATATTGACTACAACAAGAATCTTGATATACCCGCCTGTGAGTGATGGATCTACAATGAAATCCAGTGACAGGTCTTCCCATCGTTTATTTGGTATGGGTAGGCTTGTGAGTATGCCAAAAGGAGGCCTGGTGTCATGTTTGCATCGAGCACAAGTTTCACAGGAGTTTACATAATTCTGTACAATCTTTGTTATCTGGGGCCACTAAAAATGGCGGCGAATGAGGTTTAAGGTTTTGTTTATTCCTGGATGTCCCACTAGGGGAGCGTCATGTGAGAGTTGTAAGATTTTACAGTGGAGAGATGGTGGGATAAAAAGTCTTGTCTTTATAGACGAAGCCTTCCTCATCCCTCTCCAATTCAACCGAGGGTGGAACTGAGATCAAAGCTTCTCTTAATTCCTCCTTGAGACTAAAGATGGTGTTTATTATTTTCTTTTGTGGGATGATACTGGAAGGGTAACTCGGAGAAGGTGAGAGTTCCCACGATCCTAGAGAGCGAATCTGCCTTCCCATTCCTAGATCCTGGTCTGTACGTAATAATAAAATTGAATCGATTAAAGAAAAGAGCCCATCTTACTGGCCTGGAGGATAGGATTTTATTATTTTGCATGTATTGAAGGTTTTAATGGTCTGAGAATATTATAATAGGTAAGGTAGTACCTTCAAGCAGATGTCTCGAAGTCTCCAGAACAGGGGCGTAGATAAGGGGGGGATAGGGGGGTTCAAACCCCCCCCCCCCCAGAGTGTCCTGGCAGTGGCTAGCGAGTGGAGGGCAGAGGGGGGCACGTTCTCCCGGCCGTTTAACAGGGCCCATCTAAAGGGATTCCGGGGATGTCCTGTTTGATAAAACATCCGTGACGGCTGGAGCAGACGCAGATGTTTTATCAAACAGGACATACCCGCATCCCTTCAGATGTACATGTTCCTGCCTGGCCCTGAATGATATGTACATGTCGGGTCCTGCAGGAGACAGGGTGTCCTTCCAGTGATCAGGATCAGAAGGCTGAACGGAGACAGAGCGGGCAATCAGGTATGGAGGTGGG